GAGCTGCATCTCATTCTGTGAGGACATGGGATGAAGGTAACAGAGCAGATCATAGTTGGAAGAATCACTTTGGATACACATCGTCTGCCCAGATCCCGACAGAATGAATTATTTTTGGGTCATTAGAATCATGAATTTTCTCATTTAGTCTTTGCATTCCATACAGTGAATATAATGTGAAGTGAACTACCAAATTATCCGGAGGATTTTGGGCTGGAAAAATAAGAGAAAATCCTTTTGTATTGAATAACGTGGAGTCCTGTAGCTCAGTGGTTAGAGCACTTGCTTTTGCATGCGAGATTTGGGTTCGATTCCCGGCAGGGCGAAACCTTGGACAAGTTTCCTTACTCCACACGCCTAATAATAATCTCTCAAAAAAAATAAAGTGGTCATTTCAATCCACGACTGTTTGTGGGATACTGCCGTGCGCAATTGGCTGCCGCGTTTCGTGTAATGATTGCATTTGTAGGAAAATGCATTTTGCACACAGCAAGATCCCATAAATACCTATGAAGTGAACTACCAATTTATCCGGAGGATTTTTGGCCAGAAAAAAAGAGAAAATCCTTTCTCCTGTTGAATTTTATCATCGGATCTTTAATATAACCTTGGAGAGGACAAGTTTGCAGGGCTATGGGGAGAGAGCGGGAGAGTGGGATTGATTTGGATAGCTCTGTTCAAAGAGCCGGCACAGACATGATGGGCCGAATGTCCTCCTTCTGTGCTGTATAATTCTATGATACAGCAGATGGGACTTTGGTTTAATGTTTCTTCTGTAAGGTGAACCAACAAAAAATAATAATTTGTTCACTCAATCTACGACTGTTTGTGGGACACTGCTGTGCGCAATTGGCTGCCACGTTTCGCCCACAAAATAAAGTCAATTCACTTTACAGTATATTCTGTGAAGCGCTTTGAGACACCAACAACAAGATTCCATTTATAGAGTGCCTTTCACGTCGGGAGGACGTCCCAAGGCGCTGGACAGTTGCGTCAGGACCCGAGCAGGGGGGAAATGGTCAGGGTGAGGGGAGGGAAGCGAGGGAGCGAGGAGGGGGTAGAGAGTCGAGAGGGGAGCTGAAGGCTCGGTCAAAGAGAAAGGTCTTGAGACCGGCCTTGAAGGAGGAAAGGGAGGAAGCGGCGAAGGCACTGGGGGATAGAGTTCCAGAGCCTAGGGGCTGAGAGGCTGAAGGCCCGGCCACCGATGATGATGATTGGGGCGGGGGATGTGGAGCAGACAGGAGCCAGAGGAACAGAGGGTACAGGCAGGTAGGGGGATAGTAGGTCGGAGAGGTAGGAGGGAGCGAGGCCGTGAATGGCCTTGTAGGTGAGGATGAGGATCTTGAATTCGTCCCAAAGACAAGATACGGTGCTATATCAAATAATAAATAATCTAATTATTATAATTAGATCGAACCTCTGACAATGCAGCAATCCCCTCATACTGTATGTCAGCCTCAGCCATGAGCTCAGATCCTGGCAGATTCACTGATAGCAAGCAAGAAGTCTTGACAACTGTTACCGCATGAACACAGTTCATACAAGAAGGCAGTGCTCCAACACAATGTTCTGGTTTCCGCGCTTTTCAATAAGAAACACATGCATATGATTTCATTGATTTATTGAAGCAAAAAAATGTGAACAGAACAATTTTTAAACTTTCTACTGCTTTCTGTATTTTACGGATTGAACCTATTCATCAGTTACCACTTTCTGTTCATTGTTAACAATTGCAATAAACAGTGCAAAAAAACTACAATAAACAGTGCAACAAGTGCTGTGCTAATTGGCTACTGCCTAGAAAATATGGTGTAGCAGAAACTAGCATTATTCGGATCAAGGAAAAGGCTAATGACATTAAAACAAAACACAAAGATTCAACTCCCAACAGCAATAGACATGGGGCATGTAAAATACCTTAATTTTCTGCAACATGATGCATTTCAAAGGGATCACGCAACCCCAAGAACTCCGAGATCTGTCTGGTTCAAGGCAGAGCTATCCTGAAAAGCGAGGATTTTATTCACCCACTTCAAGAACAGTATCTGCACCTTATCTGCAATTAAATGGCTTGTGACCTCTTTGACTGCACCTTCGATCATCTTTCAAGCTTTCAATCTTTCAATATCTAGGACGCTACTCTGCGTGGGAGGCACTATATAAATGCACGTTGTTGTTGTCGTTATATCTTTCCCCTCAGCACTTCGCCGGCTCGGTTGTCCTCCCCATATGAAAGGTGTAGAAATGTAATTTTTTTTATTGTATTGTAATTGGTTTGAAATGTTCTTTGCTCCATTCCTCAACAAAAAAAACCCTCTTCAAATAAAGCTAAGACTGAACCCATTTTAAAGAATGCATTTTAAAATTGCAGCGACAAACTTCCTTTATCAGCCTAAAGTTTACGGATAAAAGGTTCCAGTTTGAATCTGTGCTGAGTTGTCTGATCTCAGACAAGGCAGAGACCCGTGTTGGAAGGTGAACAAATGTCAAGTGAGCATCAAATCAGACTGCGGTGTGATGTCTACCCACTGTCACACTGCTCGCCAACCAACATTCACAGTAAAAGCTTACATATGAAGAATGGCCACTTCGCAAGTTACTGGAGGGCAACCGTAGGACTGTACTCCCACTGAAAGCAAAAAGAGCATCAAACATTTTCAGCGACAAGCTGAAGAAACGTTGCCTGAAAAAAGATTATTTCCCTTCCGTAGAACCAAAAAGAACGAAAATGAAAGTGATACCAGCAATTGGAAACAACCATCAAATAAGGACCCACCACTGATTCTCTCTTCCCCCCTCACCCTCTCTCAATCACTCTCTCTCCCCTTCTCTCTCCCTACCACCCCACCAGCTCACTATCTGACAGAAGGAGATTCCTGCCTTATTTCCACTCTCCATGGCTCAACGCACTGCAGTCTGTCAGGAAGTCCCTCTCGAGCTGAGGGGAAGGCAAACAGATCTCCTCCCAACCGTGCCTGCCGTGAGAGGACAGTTTGCCAGGCAGTGAGAGTGAGAGAGCCGGATGAAATCAATCAGCCGGGTCAGATGCGACTGGGTCAGCTGGACCACCTTGTTGTATTCAAATGAAAGCTCGGTGCCATCTGACCATTAGCTGATTTATCTCATCCTCTCTTCTACTCTGATGAACTGTAGGTGAGGGCTCCGGGCTCAGCCCAAGTAATGCTAGATTATGACTGACATCTTGGGACGGTTGAAACTTTTAAAATGTTCTCCAATGTCATTGCTGTTGGTCATCGAATTCCCCCCCCCCACCCCCCGCCCTACACCCAACGATTAATAGCGCACACACAAATTTATAACTATCACAAGGCACAGAGCAACCAGTTGGTGAGGACCACAACTACAGATCAAGCCAACACACACATTTAAGCAAAACTACAAAAGAAGCTCACTCACACACACACACACACACACGTGTGTAAGCAAATAAAGCTCATCACAACTGATCAAGAGCAAACGCTTGGTCCCCACCGATTTTGAAAGAAAATTTGTTAAATTATGGGAATCTCTGTTCCCGATAACTTTATGTACACCTTAAGGTGAAACATATGGAAGACCCTGCTTCCGATACACACCTTGGTAGGCAAAAACTACCTTATTCTGTAACATTATGGAAGTCACTGCTCCCGATAATGGTTTATTGTATAGAAACGTCATTGTTCTTATTTCTTAGTAGCAGATGCTGCTTTCTTCATGACGATATAACCGTCATAATTATGGAAGGCACTGCTTCCGATAATTATCTTATATAAAAAAAGATAAAACTATTTATAGTGAACTCTGTCACTGATAAATAACAGGTAAAAATAAATACTTCAGTGCTGTCCAGTCGGAAAAGTGACACGAACAAGCCTCGACACAAGATGTTTCAAGACATTCAGTACACAGAGAATATAATAAACAAAGTCAAGCAGTTTCAGGGTGAACAATATCCTAACAAAGTTACGTATTCTCTCATGGCAAAATATTAACATATTATAAAATAAGAGAAAATGTGAACATCGAGCTGTTATTTTGGCTAAACATTCTCCTTTGCAGTTTGTTTTTGGTCAGTGTCTGACACGTGCGGAAACCCATCACCATGCTCAAAAGTATCCAAATTGAGAATTCCATGCATCCGATGTGCACATTGAAATTCCAGATGTAGACTGCTGGAATGGATAACGAACTCTCTCCCTGGATGGATGCATCCTGCTTAGCTAATTCCAAAAGGTATTAGGAGCCAAGCCTTGGGTTACTGCTGGTGTCTAACCAGCTGAAACCACAAACCATGGATATTGCTGCCTGGGAAGCTTTCTCGCTGCTTGTCCAGCTACGACCACACTATCCGTTAGAACAGGAGGAGCAATGAACGAAGGGTTTCAGAACAGCCATGGAATACAAGGAATCTCAGAAATAAAACACTCTTAAGTAGATTCTGGTCATTAACAGTGGAGTACTTCAATAGTCAAATTTGCAAAGCAAACTGATGAAGATTGAAATGAACTGCATAAGCTCTAAAACATAAAATTTGATGCAAGCTTAATAGTTATGGTGATGAGTATAAGAACACCTTAACAAGTTCCAGTGCAGAGGTGATTAATTAATTAGATAGTTAATTAATTAATTAGCTCCTGGTGTTGATGGCACAGGTTAGCTGTTACATTTGCCTATGTAACAGTCACTTTCATTTCTATTATGACTTGTAAAGGCTGGCGCAGTGTTATCACTCTCGCTCAGTCAGAAGGTTTTGGGTGAGACATCAGGACTTTTCAATCACATAGTCTAAACTGACATTCCAATATTATGAGTGCCCCATCTGCCTTTTTATGTGAATGTTAAAAGATCCCATGGCACTATTTAAAAAAAGAAGGGAATTTCTCCCGGTGTCCTGGCCAACAATTCCCCAAATAAAACTGGATACTCACTCTATGGCTGTACGTGGGACATTGCTGTGGCAAATGGCTGCCACATTCCACCCACAAAATACACAGTAAATCCATTTGAAGGGCTTTGAGACATCTCAATGTTTTACATTTCTTTTTATGTGAAATGGGCTACATAAGTACAAGTGATTAATTTTGTCATTACCTTTGTACAAGGATTGGGATTAGGTGGAGCGACATCAGATTAATTACGAACTTGTACAAGATATTCCATGTTAAGTATGCCTTTACTCAACATTGCACAAAGTAATAAATAGTGCTTTGGGATCTCGGAGAGGGTGTACTGTGGACTCTGTTCTGCAAGACGATGTTCTACAGACTCGGAGGATTTTTTTTAAGAGGCAACCTTATGGAGTACTGATTAACAAGGGCCAACAAGTAGCTGAGCAATTTACTATCCTCTCAGTTTTACTGCTGGAATTAAAACAAATCCCTTAAGACATCTAAGAAGGTGTCTATAATGCACATACTTCAGATTTTGTATGATAATCATTTGCACTCTTTTTTACGTAAGAGATACAACAAATCAACTCAAGTCTTTTTGAAAACAAGACACAACGTATAAAACTTCCAAATTAATTCTGTGGTTGATGATCACACCACCTCCATAGAATCCGATCTTCCAATCAGAACATTAATGCATTTCCGTTTTTTTGGAATTTAAAAGCGACAGGCAATGATGTGGCCAGCAAATTCCTAAAATACTAGATACATTAACGCCCTGGTTATTTAATGCCATTTAAAACTCTGGCAATGACAGGATCTACAGAGATTTCCGAGAAGACAATGGGATCTACAGAGATTTCCGAAGAGAAGAAGCACCATCAGATACTTCTGATGTAAATCAGAAGATGTTCTTAATGGTCCAGATCTCACCGCTGAGTGCATTGGCTGCTCCCTGGATGGTCCAGGTGGCATAAGCCAAATCGGTTCGGATCAGATTGATGTCGGTCAGGTTACGGTTCTCTCTGAGGAGCTTCAGTCGTTCAACAATACCAGAGATGGTGTGATTCGCGTTGCCATATAGCAGATGCCTGAACGGGCAACTACTTTGAGAGACAAAAGTAGAGAGGAAGTTGTACTCCACCTGTTTGGACAGAACAAAGAGGTATTAGTCTAAAGAGCTCTTTTTTAGGACTGTGCCTGTTACCGTTTTTTAGTAGTTTCTGTCACACTGCATTGTTGTACGATTGTGCACTGTTAATAATGCAGCATAACCTTCTTGGCCTCAGAGGTCATGGTCGGTATAGGATTCAATACAGCAAATATGATGACAATATCAATTTCCCACCCAATATCCACCTCAGTTGTGATAAATATCTAGCTAAACATTGATTGATGTTATCTCTCCTGACTAAAGAAAGCATTTTGAGCTGTCTACCCCCAGACTTAGGCAAAATTTGAGGCACAACATTCAGTAACAAGAAACATATGGATATAATAGGTTATGGGTAAAACTGCCTCTGTGGTGCCTTGGGCAGCAAGCACTGAATGAATCTCATTGACATACCAAAGAGTCAAACATAAATGCCAACGCTTGTTCCTAGAAAGCATACGTTGTGCAGAATGGGCATTCTGGGCTACAATCCAACACTGTAGTTGACAAAGAAATTAATGGGATTCAGTATTCACTTGTGCTAAATGACTGTAAGCCACCAGAACAAGTTGCTTGTATCATCAAAATATTCAAAGTGTTATATGATTGTGCACTATAAAAAGTAAAACCTACACCAAATGTTAAATCAAGGTTGCTTGCAAATAGTGTATTAAAATAGAAACATTGAACAAGCTCACTAGTCACACAGCCAGATAACAGCAAGCACCTGTTGTATTTGAAGCTGATGTTCAAATTTATGGTAAACCCTTGATCAAATACATTTTGCCACATCATGAATAAATAGGAAGGAAATTAGAGGAATAGAAATTGAGGGAGAGAGAGAGAGTGTGAGGGGAAAGAACGTAGTTGGGTGGGTTGAGGAAGCGAGAGAGAGAGTGTGGAGAGAGAGCGCGCGAACGGAAGAGAGGCAAGACAGTCACGGTTGGATGCAGGAAAAAAGAACAAGCGGGGATAGATAGCAAGAGCGAGACAGTCTCAGAGCAGCTCAGTTTTGCAACTACTGTAGAAGCCAGATCTTATTAGTAAACAACTTGCAGATTAACTGATTACTGAATTTCTGAGTGTGTGAAAGGGTGGATCCAAGAGCACACTGAAGAGGCTGCATTCTAACTCCACAATCACATCAAGCATCATTCTCACTTAGCCAGGTTATAGAGATTGAGAACATTGCAGCAGCAGTGTAAGAGTTCTTACCCTCATAATCCGGTTGTTGTGGGACCTTGTTAGTAACACATTTGTCAGATCAGATTGTTTTGTTTCATCTTCCAGTGCCTGGGCTGCTCGGTAGTAGTCCCCTTTAGCCGAGAAGAACCACATTGCGTCCAGCTTGTAGTTCTGTAGGAATAACGTGCAATTCATCAATACAAACACGTCTTAAATTGGATCTAATGAAGCCTCAATGTGGGGTCTATTCAGAATCAACTTGGGGTGGGCATGCTTCATAAGTAAACTCAATCCTTCAATTTAGTAAATATAAGCTCTTTCTAAAAAAAAAGCAGATTTTGTAAATAAGATAATAAATAAGATCCCAAATCCACAACAAAACTGCAATATATTTTCTCCCAACAATACAACCCCCACCCCCAGGATTGCATTGGAACATCAGCTTAGACTAAGTGATACCAAGTCTCGACATGGGGCCCCACAACCTTCTGACTCAGAGGTGAGAATGTTGAGCCAGGCTGTAACGCAATCATGATTATCGGAATCTTTGTTACAAAGTACTGGATGCATCGAGACTGGATTCTACTTATTCTTTATCATAAAACTTCAGATATTGAGTTCTTTTTACATTCAGTTCTTCGTTGTACTCATCTATCTTCATAGCAACATTGACAAGCTCATCAGTATATCTTCTGTAATCGAGTGGGAGATGATGGTCATGCGTTAGCTTGATGACCATATGTCCAATCATTTCAGCCATGGCACGGCTTACTTCCTCTAGTCTGTGATCAACAAAAGTTATGAGTTTGTCTGTTGTATCCAGCATTGTGCCATTATACTGGTAGGAATTCTCCTGCAATGAAGAACAAAAATTTGCATTTATAGTGTTTTTCACAGTGTGAGTTCACAAGTTCAAATCTGAACAAATAGAAAGTTCAATCAGAAACACACAACACCCACATTTAAAATGGCACTGCAAAAATATATTTCCCATACTGTATAGATGCTGGTGTACAGTACAAACTGCAGAAACTTTGTATACATTTTATAAGACATTCCCCTCCCACCACTTTTTAAAGTTTGTGTGAAGGACTTTTTTTTAAAAAAAACATTGCAAGACTTAACCAGGTATTTGGCAGTTGCTAAGGTTAAAATATTAAATCTCGAATTAGACATGAGACAACAAGAAGCAGGCAGACACACTAAGTGCAGTGCTATGCAGACTTGCATTATACAAAATGGCACCCTTCTGTGCAGTGAAAATCTCTTCTCAAAAGCTACATTTAGTTTAGCTATTTTAGGCCAACTTAACCCACACCCACAGTTAATTACTTCATTCTCTATTTTGTGAAAGAAAACCATAAAGACGTTGCTTACTTTAGCAAATCTGAGACCAACAGATGGGATCCCACCAATTACAAGAAATGCGTAAACACTGGTGTCCATGGGGATTGGGGTCAGACTGCAGGAAGGAAAACAAGTGGTCGCTTTAGGCAATAATTCACATTGTCTCTATCCCCACAGCGAGTTACTTTAGTTATCTACAATTCCAGACTGCTTGTGCTTTTGTGAAATAAGCCAAATGATGTAGTATTGCAAAAACACAGGCATCTCCTCATTCATCATCCTCATCCTTTATAGCTGAAAGCTATGCGGTTCCCCTTGCTACAACCAAAGGCCAAAGGGTGCCATTTGTCCATTCCAGAGCAAGATCAAAGCTATGCTCTGTAATGGACAAATCTGAAGCAAAGAAAGTGCACCTTTTGATGCAGGTTCAATAAATAAGTTCTCAAAAGCAACTTACACTGCTTTCTCCCATTCGTGGTTACGTGCTGTTGTTCTTTCATAGATGGTTTCTGAACTTTGCATAGGGCTTTTAACCTGTTGGAAATACAGTGAGTTAAACAATCTTCAAGCATAGAAGGACCAGGAAAGCAAGACCTAATAATTCAACATTATTGGTCTAATTATTCTAATTACTATTGGAATTTATGCTAAAAAAAAGTTGCTTTACATTTCTTGATGCAAAGGGGAGAGGGATAAAAAAAAATTAAGAATTGCAGCACAGCCCAAACCTACCCTTAATTGCCATCTAAACTCATCTATACTTAATAGTGATCAGCTACTCACTGGAAAAGCTTTTGTAGTAAGATTCTTGGATTCTTGGATTTGTGGAGCCTTGTTATAATGCGATAGCTGGGATCCATAAAATCTCAACCAGTGTTATAACAGGTTCTAAAGTTATAACAACGTCATAGGGTTTCTACATTGTTACCAATTACACGATCAATGCAGTTGCGACACTTCTGCATAGAAATCAGGTCACCATCACCGTCATGTGTGGGGAAAAGTCGCTGGAGTTTAACTCTTACCCCCATCATGGCATTTTCAATCAGACTGAACATCAATGGGCTGCCAAAAGCTTTAATCATATCTCCACCTGGAAAAGAACAGATTACGATCATGTAATTTCAGAAAACCGTCTTTTTCAGCTTGTACTCAAGAGCTTTGTAAAGAAGTTCTTTTGAATGAAGCCCAAAGTGATTATCAAAGCTTCATCACCAGAGATCTTCCTCATGTACTCAGTTTCATAGTTGGTGCACCTTTTCCAGACTCACTGTCAGCATTCTGTATAGAATACACATGGCGCAGTTAAACAAATTCCCAGGACACTAATATCCTCCACATCTGCAGCCAGTATCAGTAGGTTATGCACATTCCACGGATTCAGTTCTTTCTCAAAATAGGTCAGCAATTAAGGTATTAAATTCAGAATAATCTGGTCTATGTGGATTAATCACACTCTGTAGTGGTTTCCCCAACTTTAGCCTCAGCACAAGTGCTTCACTAAGATAGGGTCAGTTGCCAATCAAGGTGACCATAGACCATAGAAGAGGTCGTTTTTGGGGGTCGGGGGAATTTAAAGACAGATAAAGAGATGGTAGTAAGACAGAGGGAGTTCCAAAAGTTAGGAGTGTAATAGTTGAAGGTGAAGGTGATGGAGAGGGTGCAGGGGATGGCAGCAGACCCAAATTAGCCATGCGGAGGAGGCAGGCAGACAAGTGGGAATGAAGATCACAGAGATAGGAAAGTACTAGGATGTGAAAAGATGAGGACTTTGAAGTCAATCCTTTGGGAGAACAGCTACCACTTAACTGAGGCACGTTCAAAGGCCAAGATAACTTTCAAACTTCATATTGTTTGCACCCCCCCACCGCCCAGAAGACAACAAACCACCATTGTTGATGAACTTACCAAGCACTGCTTTGTCAAGGCTGAAGTAGGCACAAACCTTCAAATGCAACATAGACATAAAACCCTGAGGAGAAAAGAAAACTAATTTAATTAAGATTCAATTTACTGCCTATCTTATGCAGATTCTTTCCAGTTCTGTTTTAAATATCCCTAATGTTTTTGCTCTAGCACCCAATCTGGTAAATCATTCCAAACATTCATCACAGAAAAAAAAACATTTTCTATTTAAAATTCACATCACTGCCTCATTTATGTTACAATGCTCCAGAAGTGAGCCAAGATGTTCAAAAAGGTGTTTCAGTGACGTTGAAATGACGAGTCTCTCAGCGTCCAAACTAAAGTGTAAACTAGTTTTACCTCCAGCCACTCGGTAGCTCCAACAGATCCAAAAGCACCTCCGCTCCAGCTGGCAAAGATGATGCTTCTTCTGGGTTTAAATCCATCTACAAAACAAAATAAGCACAAAAAATATTCTTATCCAATCATTTGGAATAGTGGTGGCTGGACTCTGGCCTGCCTCTTTCACAAAACAACCTATACAACTGTACACACGTGACCTGTCATCTCATAATAACCATCAACAGCAGAGGCATGTCTCAAACTTTTATGTGCTAAATTAACAATCACAAATAATGTTTGGCAGGTGGCAGATGCAGTATGGATCTGATGCTGCACAGAACAGTCACAGCCCAACACTTCCAATTGGTCATGGAATAACTAATGCTGATTTTTGCAAATGGCAGTGGTCTGTTCCGAAGCCTCCTGATGACCTCAACCTTGTAATGGTAGTTTATCTTTTAACATTATTTGGCAATAATTTACAGAATTGTACGGGAGTGACACAAGTCTTTCACCTTTTGGACCTGGTAAAAATCTAGTTATGTCCAATGAGATGAAAGTCTCCTCTGTCTTTAAACTTCGTGAATTGAGTTTGAGGGCAGCTCCAGCCAACATCCTAAAGGGGACCCACCATGAAACTGCCTTTCATTTGACAATCGTACTCACAGGGGCAGATATTGGAAACTTTCTGAGTTTGTGGTTGAGGCACATTTTTGAGGCAAAGAAGAGCTTTACATCTAATCCACTCATACCTCTCACACCGCCTGCACTTCATCTCCTTCAACAGCTTCTCCTTTAGCCCCCGGACCTTCTCGTGGGGTGTGCCTCAGGGCTCTGTCCTTGCTCCCCTTTGGTGACATCATCCGCAGACATGGGGTCAACTTCCACATGTATGCGGATGACACCCAACTCTACCTCTCTGCCTCCACCCTTGACTCTAGGACCGCTGCTGTGCTGACAGAATGTCTGTCAGACATCAAGTCCTGGATGAGAGCTAACTTTCTTCAGTTGAAAGTTAAAAAGACCGAGGCTCCTCTGATTGGCTCCTATCAGCGCCTCCTCACCTCAGGCGCTGACAGTTTCACCATCCATGGTTGCACTCAACCTTGCTAAGCTAGTCCGGAACCTTGGAGTCTTGTTTGACCCTCAACTATCCTTTCTACCCCACATTCGCACCATGACCCGCTCTGCCTACCCCCACCTCCGCAACGTCACCCAGCTCCGACACTGTCTCACAACGCAGGACGCCGAAACTCTCATACACATCTTCATTACATCAAGGCTCGACTGTGCAAATCCATTGCTTGTCGGCCTCCCCAACTCCTCCCTCCACAGGCTGCAGAACATCCAGAACTCTGCAGCCCGTATCCTCTCCCGCACTAGGCTCTGTGACCCTATCACCCCCATCCTTGCCCAACTCCACTGGCTTCCCATCACACAGAGGATGCAGTTCAAGATCCTGGTCCTCACCTTCAAATGGTCTTGCTCCCCCTTACCTCTCCAACCTCCTTACCCCCTACCATCCTGTTCACATCACCCGCCTTGCTTGCCCCACTATCGGCAGGAGGGACTTCCACCACTCTGCACCCACCCTCTGGAACTCCATCCCTCCATCGAAGCAAGCTACAAGATTGCTTCATCTGGCACATCGCCTCTTGGCTCACCTTGAACCATCTTGGAAAAGACTCGTGCCAGCTCCAACAACAGTGCTGTACCCACTCCAGACTCTGCAGCTCCAGGACCATAGGAGTCACGCTGCGCCCCAATCAAAATGTAATGATCTGAGGGACAAACATGTTCAGCAGCTCAGAAAGGTACATACACCACATCTTATTTACATATTGAAATCAAAAGTTCAGGAAGACTTTTTTTTTAAAAAGCCACTGTTCCTATAGTTACAGAGTCACTGAACATGCAAAACATTATGCAATACAAAAAACCTGCAAATGCTAAAAAAAACACTTGAAAATCAAACCAGCAATTGAGTAGATAAATTAGCGTTTCTCAAATTTGTGTTTCTTATTTAGAGATTTTATGCATTTTTTTGCATTTCTTTAGAATTGTTGGCAATCTTCGTCCCACAAATAGCAAACAGTCAAATTTTAATAATATCCAAAAAAAAAATTCCCTAACAGTACAAAATGCTGCACAGATACATTACACGTATTGTCCTGGGACTCAATCCAGTCAGCATTGTGTACGTGTGCAGGCTCATGCAACAGTATACAACTGGACCTTTATGCACGGGTTTTGTGGGCAAATAAAAGAAATTCAATGGTTGCAGGAAATTACTCATGTTTTTCAATATTATTCAAGAATGTCTCCAAGTAGCAAAATAAATGTCCACCTCCGTAAACTGGCTGTATAGGATATCATACAAGATACAAATCCCCCTAAGGAAAGGTATTAACAATTGAGATATTGTGATTAGCACAGAGCACAAATGGGCAGTCAGTGTGGCGAAGTGCACAGAACAGGAAAGGTGGAGGGAAGGAGAGCAAAAACAAAAGCTAAACATGAAATGACTAAAACTGACATTAATGGAGGAGGAAGAAGATAATTGCATTTCTCTTGTTTGAACACTGAATAAAATGAATAGGGATCCACTCACTTCTAGAGTATTGAGGGGGAAACTACCTCAGAATAGTTGTTGGCCTCAAATTCATACGAAGCAAAGGGAACTTCACTGGAGATCTTGAAATTTATAGTATTACAAGTTCTCTAAACTTGGTAAGAATGTATAGAATTATTAGGTTATGCAATTACTTTTATGCATATAAAAAAACTCAGTTACCCCAACACAAACTCTGGGGTCCCCCAAGCCTTGGCTCTTGCCAACTTGCTTCTAATACTTTCCGGAATTTGGTAAGCAGGATACACCCTTCCTGGGAGAGAGGGCACGTTCCATTCCAACAACCTATCTCTGGTATTCCCATGTGTGGTGGGATGCATGGAATTCTGTTTGATTTGGATACTCTTATGGTGATGGTTTTCCGCAGTTGTCAAGACACCCGGCTGACTCCAAAATAGTGATCTTTGCTCTTATAAATCAAGTTCTAATCACAATTTCGCAGTTGGCAATCAAAATGTAAAACTTGTAATCCATTGAGCAAACAAGTCAGCATTGTGCAGGCTTGGTAATGCATGTCAAAGGCAGCTACTCACCAGGTTCTTCATTACCCTTAATAACACCAAAGACGTTGTGAATCTGTTTGACTGTATTAACGTTGTTCACTTCCAACATGACTTCCATTTCATTCTTTTCATGCCCTGGTCCAATTTTGGATGGAAAAACTGCACCCTTCCAGGCATCTGGAGTACTGGGACCACTCATTGAACTGTAGAAACCAAAAGATACATGCATTATGGAGGGGAGGGAAAGGAATTTGTCTTTCATAAGTAAGGATTATAATAATAATAATATTTTAACAGAGTGTAAACAGAAGGGTAATAAACAGATTATACAGATAACCAGATTAAAACACTTGCACACAGTGAGATTGGCCTATTTTGGTTTGTGTTAATTAACTTCCATGCTTATCTACAAATATACTTCACTTCACAACAATTATCTAATTAGTACTGTGAAACATTTCAATGTTATTAAATTGTAAGGATTCTAACACAATAACAAAAGCACTTGAGATCACAATCTTGGCTAACACTTCATTGCATAGTGATTACCCAGAGATATTTCATGATGATAAAGCACAAATCCAAAATATAAGTTTGTTCTGTCTTCTTACCTGAAAAGCTTAGCAGCGGTGTTGGTACTAATAGAATGAGCCAAAATTCCAGGAAGCCCTGAAGATTTAGTTGGGGGGAACTGTGTGTGATTGAAGGATGGGAATCCAGGAGTGAATGGATCACCCAAACCAGCATGAACCTAGCAAACAGAAAGATTATTGTACATCCACCCAAGAAACAGTTTTAAATACAGAAGAAACAGGACTCTAGCTAGAGTATGAAGTTTGTGAATTATGAAATTAATGTTCTTGCCCACCAAAATTGTAGATACAAGGAACACTTGTATCTCCTTAATTGCCTATAACTACCTTCCTTTGGGGCTTTTGATTTATCAGTTACAACTACATCACTGAATCCCCCCCCCTCCCGATTCTTGCTAGGTATGGGGATAATTTTTCATATATCAGCTCTAGGCTATTTGAGACAAACTGTAGATGTACTACCATCACTTCAGCTAATGATGAGCAGCGCTCTGCATATGGCATTACCTACATGTGTATTGAACCTGAACCAGAATTCCTTAATAACTCTTGGACCATAAAGTGCCTGTTAAACTGGAAGCAACTATTAACTGGGCACAGGGCTCTAATTTTGTACACAAAGTAGATGCTTAAAGTTTTGCTTTGTGATACAACTGATCAATAATATTTTTAAACAGTAAGGTACTTACATGCCCAAATATGGCTATGTCTCTAAAATATTCAAAATCTGGGTAGATCAGAACTGCTCCTGCTTTCATCTTCTCAGCATTATAAACCTACAAGCAGAACAAAAATATTTCATAGGTTATCATTCACCTCAAATACACATTTTTTTACAGTATTCTGTAAAACATAAACCAACTAAAGAACATATTATTTCCCTCTCAATGGTACATATAAACTAAAAGAGTCTCATTAATATAATCTCATTAACCCAATAACTATGATTAGCACTTCTTATTAATAGATAGGATTTTGTGTTTGATTTCTTCTCCTTTAGGAACCCCTCCTGCTTTATGGAAAATTAATCCAGGTACTGTTTAACCCAGCGAGCTCACATTACTTTAAACATTCACTAGTTACAGTGCAAAATCCAATAGTTTGGATTCCATCCATTCCTCAAAAGTCAAATCAAAAGATTCACCTACGAAGTGTTAAATTCATTGTACTGACCATCTTGTGTCACACCTTTATGCCTTTGACAAAGTTAAGTTTTTAAATAAATGCATACACAACTTAGTTGCTCATTTCTTGCTTGTGTATGCTGGACCTCTGGAAGTTGACAGTGCACAGCTAAATGCTGTCACCTTCTATTACAGATCAGTACACTACTTTGCACTTATACAGTGTCTCTAATGTCGGAAGAATATCTCAAAGCAATTTACAAAGAATTTAATGTGAGTCCGACCTGAGAGGGAGGTAAAAGGGCATAAGGGAGGTGGATAAAGGTACAGTAAAAGAGATAGGTCTTTATATATATTATATAAATCGAGAGGGAAGGGCAAAACAGATGGATTTTAGGTGGCTAGTATTAGGAAACAGGGGCAAAGTGTATAAATGTTCATTTGTTGATAATGGGAATGGCAGTGGACATGAAGCAAGCCGGATTTGGAGGAGTGGAGGGAATGATCAGAGAATAAGGATGCAGGAGATCATAAAGCTAGGATTGGGCAAGGCTATGGAAGGCACCTGAAGGTGATAATGAGAATTTTAAAATTGATCTACCTAGAAAATAGAAAACTTGTAGAGCTGGGTGAGCATAGGGGTGATGGACTCACTGAGCCCAGCGTGGGAGAGAATACAGACTGGGAAGGTCTCCATGATTTGGAGCTTGTGGAACTGGGGCTCTAGGATTCAAGCAGGAATTTGGAAAAGCAGAGTATGGAGATGACAAGGCTAAGTCATGAGAGTGACTTAGTAGCAGATGTGAGTAATAAGAGTTGTCCAGATAGAGTTATCAGAGTCAGATAAAATGTTGACAGGAGAGTTGAGGATCAAACAAACACAAAGCACATTCCAGGGAACTTACCTTCTCAGCAAAGCTGATTATTCCTGCTCGAACAATGACAATAGTGCCACTGATCGTCCCTACGACCATCTTTGTCAAGTCTTCAAAGTCAGCTTTAGTTCCATAATTGGCATATACCAATTTTCCCTGAAAAATCATAAGAGAATGCATTGAGATACAGCATTAACATGGATCAGTGCTGTATTGATGCCTGAGGTATGATTGAAAGAGGGAAAGAGATAGAAGATAGGATGTCAAGGTACAATAATACTGCAGGTGGATTTACTTTTGAATGAAACACCCTTTTCAGTTTGAATACGCCACCATCTCCTTCAGCTGCTTTTGACCATGGCAGAAATCTCTCTCTACTTCTCCCACAATATTAGGATGTAAAATAAACTTTTAACCTGCAAGTCAAGAACTAAAGGTTTGGTGATTTTCATTCGAAACACCCTCACAAGGTTTGTAGGGAAAGTCGGAGGGATTGGAATTAATGGATACATGTTGAGCTGAATGATTTTCAATTATGTAAATTTATTTTGGGGATTTATTGGCCAGGACAACAGGGGAAACTCCCTTCTCTTCGAGCACTGCCCATGTGATCTTTAACATCCACCTGAACAGGTAGATGGGACTTCGGTTTCGTCAGAAGGAGGGCATCTCCAACAATGCAACACACTCTCAGCATTGTATTATAGGGTCACCTTAGCTATGTGATTCCAAGTCCCAATGTGAGGCTTGAACCTCAGTGGGGGGAGTTCTACCACTGAGCCAGGCTGACACACAGTGCTCACTAAACTCTTGAGCAGCTTCAGGAGAGAGACTGTATGTCTAGGCCAAGTCATAAGGAATATCAAATGGATATTAGGACAGCAAAACAATTTTTTCTTTGTCAAATTATATGAAACATTGCATATTATACAAAGGAAAAACCACAACAAAAGTAAATATGTTTTTCTTTCTCCAAGAACTACAGTAACAAACCCTAAGGAGTGTGTGTAAATAAGAAATGGATAGAGCAGAGAAGAAATGTTTAATTAGTTTAATTCTTGCCTTGAAAGCCCCAGTTTCACTGTATGCACAGTATACCGGAGAGTTCTTGGATTCCTGAGATATCTCCTGTTGACTTACATTGGAAGCTATCTTGATTTTATTGGGGGTTCTGCGATAAAAACAGAAGTCAAACTCATCAGAAGAAAGGTTCAGATGAAGAAGATTCTTCAGCCAATTTGATCTCATTTTCCCCCCAAAATCCACCCTCTCGTCTTCCCATGACAGCATCACGTTGTTTCCACCATCAGCGGTCAGGCTTCAACCTTTCTGCTCCCAACCTTTGGATCTCCATCCGACTGTCCCTTCGCCTCACCCACTCCTTTGCCTCCTTCAAGACCTGTCTCAAGACCTTCCTCTTCAACAGCGCCTTTGGTCACCTTCCTACCCCCACCTACCCCACCTGATCACTAACCCCAGCACCGGTGCACATCCTTGACTGTCCAGCTCTTTGGGATGTCCTCCCGATGTGAAAGGCACTATAAAAATTTAATTTATTGTTGTTGTTTCTTGAATAATTCCAATGCCCTGCTGTCATGCACGTTTCCTAGTAACTACTCTAGTTATTAATTACCCATTGTGTAAAATACTGATACCAAACTAGAAAAACTGCATGATGTTTTTCATAAAACTACCTCTGAACCTGTGTTCACTACTTCCACTCTCTTGCATCTGGATATATTGTTACAAGTTGACTTTCTCTATCCCATTTAATATCTTATAATTCTCTTTAAGGCACCTTCTGAGACCTAGGTTGAAGAGCCGAGACTTCTAGAAACAGAAATGTTCATGATAGGAGGTTATTCACATGTGTGCAACTGCTACTTTGATTTCACTCCTGGTCATCTTTGTGTTCCGCATAGCTCATCTCTCTAACCCTGGGGATCAGTAACATTGCCCCCCCCACCCCTTCCACACCTCACGCTCTACATTGATCTGGGAAGACCCTTTATGTCAAGGTGCCCAAACTGTACACAGTACTCAAGTGCAGCTTGACCAGAGCACTACTTGAGCATGACTTCAAAGGATTTTAATTCAACTGATTTGGAAATGTAGCCCAGCTGTTCACATATGAAAACGAGTCCAAAATAGATCCCAAACCCAGCAATGAGGTTACCTTAATAAGTGTGAGTATTGAGTACCACTGAACCTCAGCAAAAGTAAACCATTATAGTCCACTGCGCTACACATAAACATAATCCAATCAGAAATTGTAATGTTTATTCTATCTGAGATCAAGCCTACATAACTCATCTGCATTGGTTGTATAGTCCCATTCAAGTGTGCAATAAGTTTTCTCCATGCTACAGTCGATAGGAAAACATTTAAAAGAATCTTTCTACTTGCATTTGCTTTTTCAATAAACCCTTTTACATCTGAAATAGTCCCAATGTCTCTGTGCAACTTGCATCATTCCACTTCTGCCTGATTTAACAAAGCTTCCATTAAGTATGAAGGCTTAACTTAATTTTCAACATCAAAGTTAGCTCACTTGATCTTACACAAATCATGAGCTACGAGTCACAAATCTCTCCATAGCCACAAAAATTTAAACTTTTGCTCTCGCTCTCTTTTTCTCCCACGACTCTTTGCTTCCCCCCTCATTACCCAAACATCTGCTATTTTTCAACCCACCTTATCTTCTACATTGATTTGGACAAATTATTTAATGATGCGGCAAAACCTATTCTACCCTCGGGCAAAGCATAGTCAATAGCTCTGCAATGAAGGCAGGGAGTGAGAAAAAATGCACTCACAAGAGCAACAGTGTATTAAGATCACACATGTGCATGTGGGTGTTAAAGAATTAAAAGAAATCGTGTGAGTTAAAGGATTAAATACTGACAAGTAAATGCAAACAGTCTTAGCAAACTCAGAACAATAGCAGCTCTGTCTTTAGTCCAGCTCACTGTGCTTTACTGCCATTAATGCAAAAAACGTTACAATGCACCCATAGCCCGAGATATATCGAGTGCCAAGGCCATAGGTGGAAAATGTCTTGAAATGCAACTTTTCCCATGGGAATTGCTTTGCTAATTTAACCTTTCCTCTAAAGTGGGTGACCAAAAATCTTGAATGAAAACACAAAATGATTTCTTTGCAATTCAGCATGAATATAGATGGAGGAGAAAACAGGAGACAATTTTGTGTAAACACACCCCACATGCACTTGTTGATACTGCTACTTGGATTATAGAATATATAATCTGATATAAATAAAATAATATAAATTATATATCTGCACAGTTATAGAAAGCTGGGAATTTTGTATTTTTATAACATGACTATGGAATAATAGCCTCCATATAAACTACAGAAGATGAGACGGCATATTAAAAAAAGTCACTCCCCCCTCTCCACACCGAAGAGGAAACGCAGAAAGTTTATTCCATTGAAATACTCATCAGATTTGCACTGTTTGACTGTCATTTACCTCATGCCATTAAACAATCAGATTTCTCTCCGTGCAATCCTCACAGTACTCACCCGCTGACCTGTAGATTCACGTAGTGACTATCGGACCATACGTTTGTCTCACCAAGATAATCAGTTAGATTTGTAAGGATGTAATGGGCAAGTTGATGATCTCCATCTGTTCCAGTCTCATGGTTGTTCATATTAGAGACTTTCCTAATAAGGCAAACAAAACTTGGTCAGGTTATCAAATTCAGACCTGCAGAAATTAGACTGCTGAAGATGCATTAGATTAATTAATACATTAATACTAATTAATACATTTGACGTCAACCTATCTAAATGGATTTTCAAAACAGTCTCCAAATACTAGGCTCAAGCAGACACAAAGCTAGTACCTCGTCCCATGTCAGAACAAACCCCAATTACTATTTTTCAGTCACATGAAGCACCTCAATATAGGCAAATATGCATTCAACTGCATAATAATCCTTGCATTTGATATAAAATCTATCCCAAGTGCTTCACAAGGAATTGGTCAAGTGTCGTAATTGTGTGTTCGTAGCCAAAATTCAAGAGCGACTTCACATTAACTGAGTTTTAAGCAAACCAAAGGTGCCTGCTTTGAAACTGTCAAACGGTTTTAAGCAATTATAAACCACTCTAAAGACAGGCCTCGGCGTTGTGTTCAAATATTCATCAAGTGTAACATTTAGGATTATACAGCAAATCTGATTTCCCCTTTGCTCAGCAAATTTCACTTTTAATCCTCGACTTCGGTTGCTGGGCTGCTCTGCAGCAATATCACTAAAGTCCACGAGAGACTTTATTAATCCTGTATCAGACTTTTATACTCACAGGTCATTCTCAAGACCAAAAACAACCCCCAAAATTCTGTTCTCCACTACCCACCACTTCCTCCACCCACCTCTCAAACACCCTTGGTCCTCATTTTCAAAACCTGGACTTCTTTATCTCTAAGGTAATATCTTACTGGCACCCTCCCCCTCCTCCACACCACCCCATGTCACCTAACAACCCCACACCGTCCATGGCTCCTTCATCACCCTTTCCTCTTATCACGGCCCCCATCCTAGACTCATTTGCCCCGCATCTCTTCCTCCTTCCTTTCCCCCCACTATCACCCAGATGAAAGACCTTCCTTTTTGATCGTGCTTACGGTCACCTCCCCCTCCCTTTCACTCAGTGTAAGACTCCGCCAGTGAAGGTCACTATATAAATGCAAGCTGTTGCTGTTCCCTTCTTTAATTATTCTCACTCCCCAAAAACATTTTGTGCAGGTGGAGAGAGGAGGGAAGAGTGAGGGACATGAAACACGCTGGCGCTGCTGAGTGAAGAGACCAGCCCTATTGCTACGATTTGAGGTGGCAGCGGTAGGGCACGGCAATATTGTGCAGGGAATTAAAGGTGAGAACAAGGATCTTGAACTCGATTCTCTGGGAGATGTGGAGCCAATGGAGCCAGGGGGCCATGGAGATGACAGACCCATGGAGCCGAGTGCAAAGAAATTATTAATCGTTACAGGAAAAAATAGAATCTTTTGATATATGGACAAGTGTGACTGCAGCAAAGCAAACCACAATATGTAACAAATTGTATTCGAACGTTTGGGTCTTCACATAAAACGGGAGGTGCAACCTCTGTACGTAATGTGTGAAAACTGATGATTTTCTAAGGTGGATGTACAGATGTGTGCAAATGTTTAAATTGTATTGTAACAGGGATATTTTACTGACAGTTATACAATGTGCTCACCAAATTTCATCCACCAGTTTTGATGATTTCAGATTCTCTTGCAGCATTTTCTTAATATCGGGAAAGTACAAGTTTGAGTCCTCTTCATTATCCTGATAATCGTCTGGAGCTTCAGTACTGGAGCCTGTAGAGGACTTGGATAGAGCTTCACTGCTCAGTGGAGGTATCGTTGGGTTAATGGGGCTTCCTTTCTGCATTCGTCCTCTGAATGCCAGGTAACCCACAAGGAATCCTAAAGGTCAGAAGGAAAGAAAAATACTCAGTTCATACATTTTAAAAATAAAAATTAATACATTATTTTAATAATTAAATCATTTCTACTTACAGGAGATTTAAAATGTAAAATATAACCTTAAGAAAAAGGGGAGATCAGGAGTTGCGGTTAACACGAAACAAGGAAAGCAAAAACAATACAAAATGTGCAAAAGCGACTGATAATTTAATTATTATTTAATAATTTTATATCAGTTGTACAAGAACCTGACCAACCCTCTGGAGTCCTCTCACTGTGGGAAGAAAAAATCCTCAAGGGGAACAAAAATGATGTAGCTCATACCAAGGAAGTATACAATAGTATTTCCATCCATAGCAAACATGATTATTATAAACACAGATGGAATCACTGGTCAGCAAGTCACACCATGTGGTATATCACAATTATTTTTTATTACAGAAATGAGTTTAGTGTATAACCAAGAGACTACATAAGCTGGCCTATTGTATATCTGTAAAAACAGAGCGTCACTGAAGGCATTTTAAATGTTCACTGATGAGATAATAATGCAGTGTAGTATTTAGATTTACCATTACCACGAGATCAGACTGCTGAAAGCATTACAAAAGCAAACCGTGATGAAAGCATAAATGATCTGCACTTGGCTTGATTGAACCACATGGACCAAATCAGCAATGCACGACAGTAACAGGCAAAGGCACGTAGAAAGGTTTTTTTTTCTTTCTCATTCTCACCTATCAGAAAGATGAGTAATATCGCAGTTATTAAACGGCAGAGGTTTTTCACATTGTTTTGAGGTTTCTCTATGCGAGTATCCATCCCGTCCGCCATTACCTCCCCGACCTCCTCATCGTTCTCGTTTCCAGCGAGTTTCATCTCTACTCGGCTGCCGTCACCATCTATCTGACGGGCTAGGCTGAAGCGGGTGTACGATCTTGGCTCATTTCCAAACTAAACAGGTTGTAAAGATTACTTGGTTAAAGAATGCAATAAAATTCAGCCTGCTGCTTTCAACTTCGCATCTAAAGTATCGATCGCGCTTAATTGTATCAGGAAACATTCAGAAGTTGTGCAGCACATAAATAGGAAGTTCTCTTGGGCTCAGCATGGCTACCAAACCAACTGGACGAGCAATTCCCCCATGCTGCCAATAAAGCAAAGGCCAACAGTGGCTACTGACCCAGACTACCAGTGGTGAGCATTCTTGTGATTTTACTGTAACAAAGCAGCCTTTTTGCGCAGTCACACCTAACTCATCATTGTTGTCTGAGCATTCTTGTTACCCATTGGTGTTTCAAAGTGAGATACACTGGCTCACTACAGTTGCAATACAAGATTCTGGCCAGCAGGACGGCTCACAGAAAGTTCTCCTGATGGCCCGCTGGATTGGATGACAATTTTGACAACCGTCAACATGTCGTGGTACCAGGAGGCAAGCCTTACCCCAGTGTTGAGCAACCCGTCACAAAAGAAAACTTGGCAAACTTTTCTTTGTACAATTTTTTTTAGAAAAAAGTAATAGATGGAGTGTAACAATTGAAACATTTTGAGGTGGGATCTCAGAGCTGGCTTTGCCTTAACTGGTCAAGTTAAATTCTAGACATGAGATCTTAAAAGTTTGCTGCTGACTTGTGGATCTTGACTCATGTACAATTCGCACGTGCAATGTCCTCTGCTGGTTCACTTTGGCACAGCAATACCACATTGCTGCCTCAAGACAGGTCATAGCTGCCGAACACCAACTGAAACTAAATGAACCGACTGACAAGTCCAGATCGCTTAGTGAGTAAAATTTTGTGTGCATCATTAAGCAAACCTGGATGAAGAAGAGTTGGGTCTTACCAAGTTCGAAACAATTGATCTCGCACTGTCCATTTTAGGATTTACTGATCAGGCTCCTGAAAGAAATAAATAAACAGTGTTATGATCAGCCACCACCATAACAGACAGACCTTCTGCACCCAATCCATCCAGCCCAATGTTCCCCACTTCAAACATCTATCTAACTTTCTAATCTTACCCCACCCTAAACAAATGTGATACATGCAGAAACCCTGAGTGTTTCTTGGGATACAGCTGGTATTTAACCACCCAAAATTGATGGCAATGCTCTCACACATGTCACGTTGAGCTGCGCATCGGGAAATAGCAAAAAGCTTGCCAAGGCAGTGCTTTCAATGGTAAACTATGTGGTTTTAGCTGGTTAAACTCCAGCAATACACACTATGGGGTCCCCATATTATAATATTCACCAGAATTTGGTAAATAAGGTTTGACCCTCTGGGAGTGTGTGTCTTGCAGTCCTGACATGGAAATGCGCATGTGTAGGTGGCACATATGGAACTCTGGTTTGGATACTCCTAATAAACACAGTGATGGGTTTCTACAAGTGTTAACACACCCAGCTAGCCAAAAAAAATCTAAAATCACATAGCTTTTCATTGAGAAAACTTCCTGGCAAGCTTCTTGCTGCCTATCAAACTACCTAGGATCACACTAACTTTCACTTGCAGGGTTAACATAAGAATAATCCCTGCTCCCAGTGGCAACATGAACAAAAAGACCCATATAATTCATGCAAGGTTAATAGTTTGATAATAGATTCAAAATGTTGGATTGTAAAAAATTTCCAATGCAAAACTATAACGAAGTATAGGTTTAAAACCAGCTTCCCATTTTAACCTCATGTTACCCAGAAAAGACAAAAGGAACTGTTCGAGACGCAAGACTATTATAATAATCAATGTTGCATTTGCTACAGCACCTTTTCACATTTTTAAAACATCTCAAGAGCTTCATAGGACTTACTGGAATGTTAACTAATCTTAATGGACATGAGTTTAGCATTCTGCCTGCGCTGTAGTTCGTCTGGTCAGCAAACCTATTAAAATTTAACAGGTTGATTTTAGTAAAAGCAAATGACCTTTTAAGCTGGGCCTACTGCATGGGAGAGAGTCACCGAGGACAAATGCTTGTGCAATCAGCTAATGCAGGTCATTTACCATATACTGTACTGCTAAAAACAAGCTGGTGTAATTTGAATCTCATATCATTTGACATTGGGATACCGTACATTCCTGTAGACAAGCCTTTTAAATTCAGTGTTCATATCATTCATCGCTATAAACGACCAAGGTAAATTAAATTGCCAAATATCTTACCTTCACAAGAGAAAAAAAATAAGAGCTGCGATGCTTATAAGAACCCATTCATTGGGCACCTCGTTCTTCTAATATGTTAACTGCCGCCGAGCTGCAGTCAGATTGTACTTTCAGGCCACCCTTTCTAACCACCCTTGCCTGGCTTGTATGATACAGCTTTATCTCCAGATATGACTAGGATGCCATTCAACACAGATATACTAAGAGGTTTAGATAACGTTAGGAAACAGGAGTCAAAGCTACAAGATTTAGTCAACACATTAAAATTTCAAGTAATACCATTCTTAAACTGGATTTGGTATCAGTACCTTCCCCTAGCCTCCACTTTCTGAACTAACACAGACCTATCAAGTAACACTTTGCATGAAGGTGACACTGCCTGCCAAGCATTTAAAGCATTTAAAAAGATGAAATGAGTTTTCGCTTCTCGCACTTACTCCTCTCCTGAAGTTATTTGACTCCCTCATCTTTCTACCCGGGTACAGTTTCACAGCCCCTGAGTGTACATTGGAATCTCACTCTGGCTGTCACTGGTATGTGTGCACCTTGACAGTGTCAGCAAGCGAACTGACAGTGAAGGGCAACACAGCTGAGTGAAACCTATCCTGAAGCGGAAGGTCACCAGGAAACTTAGATTATTTTTGCAATCCCAAACATGTTTAGTACCATCTGTACATTAAGTGTATTCGAGGAATGGAAATATGACACAAAATAAATCATTGTCTAAATTATAACTCGATTTTGCATTTTTCTTCCCTCCCCCAAATCAGGTTAGGAATTTAGGTCATCAAATGACTGCATCAAATTGACTTATTCAATGGAGTTCAGAGAGATGACTACATTAAACTTTGTACCGCACTGGCTCAGGTATCATCAATCGGTTGGTGAGGTATTAACACCAGTGAATTAATGTGCTCCCATCAGATATGAAAAGCAACAGACATTATGTAGGAATTGTGTTGGTTTCCTTACTACTTTGTGCCAAGAATCAGGCTAATGAAGTATATATATAATATATAATAGTATATAATAATATAATGAAGTATAAATAATAATAAATAGGCAGTGAAGGTATACAGTAGGATACAGTCGGCACTCTTGTGTTCTCTCATCTCCTGCACCCCCAAATCAACTGCAGCAGATTCATATTTAAGCACATGATACATGGCAAACATTTTAATATCATATTTCAAGTTATTGGGAAAAAAGGCTGTTAAGAATACAGTAGATCAATGAACATGGTGAGTGTTATAGACTCATAACAGTCTATATGGCTTCAGGATTGCGTGACTTGGGTTAATACTATGATTGGTTCTATAAGTGCGGAATATTTTCTGTACGTCTTTCTATTACGAACCCCTACCTCCTCCAATCGAAACTTAGTTTATCCGGCACTCAGTTAGTTAGTTAATTAGCTCAGAGAAACTGCAGACTATTGATACTCAGAACCTTATCCCCTCAATTCGGGGAATTTCTTTATCATTCACACAAATACCAAATAACTCCCCTTCCCACCCACCCCTGGCCAGAAATAAGAAAAAAAACACCACAAATATATATATATATATATAAAAAAAACTTAGCGATCTGAAAACATGCAGACAACAGTTAGTTAGTTATCCGCACTCAGAGCAGAATGCCACTTAGTGTTGTTCCACACTATTCATAAGAACCATTTCTATATATATATATATATATATAAAACACACACACGCACGAAACGTGGCTCCCAGCCAGTTCGGGTTAGATGTTGCACGATCAACTGGCAGATTTCCTGACCAGGAAATAAAGAAACATTTAGCACAATTTGTTTTAATATTAATATTTTTTTAAAAAGCAGTGTATTCAAAATACACCCCGCGTGTGTGTGTATTTTTGTATGTGTGTGTATGTGGGTGCGTATGTGTGTGTGTGTGCATGTATGTGGGTGGGTATGCGTATGTGTGAGTGGGTATGTGTGGGTATGTGTGTGTGTGGGTGGGTATGTGTGTGTGTGGGGGTGGGTATGTGTGTGTGTGTGTGTGTGTTTGGGTGGGTATGTGTATGTGTGTGTGTATGTGTGTGTGGGTGGGTATGTGTGTGGATGGGTATGTGTGTGTGCGTATGTGGGTATGTGTATGTGTGTGTGGGTGGGTATGTGTGTGTGGGTATGTGTGTGTGTGTGGGTGGGTGGGTATGTGTGTGGGTATGTGTATGTGGGTATGTGTGTGTGGCTGAGTGTGTGTGTGTGGGTATGTGTATGTGGGTGTGTGGGTGGGTGGGTAGTGTGTGTGGGTATGTGTGTGTGTGTATGTGTGTGGGTGGGTATGTGTGTATGTGGTGTATGTGTGTGTGGGTATGTGTATGTGTATGTGGGTATGTGTGTGTGTGGGTGGGTAGTGTGTGCGGGTATGTGTGTATGTGTGGGTGGGTATGCGTGTGTGGGTATGTGTATGTGGGTATGTGTATGTGTGTGTGGGTGGGTATGTGTGTATGTGTATGTGTGTGTGTGTGGGTGAGTGTGTGTGTGTGGATATGTGTATGTGTGGGTGGGTTTGTGTATGTGGGTATGTGTATGTGTGGGTGGGTATGTGTGTGTGGGTATGTGTATGTGGCTATGTGTGTGGCTGAGTGTGTGTGTGTGGGTATGTGTATGTGGGTGTGTGTGGGTGGGTAGTGTGTGTGGGTATGTGTGTGGGTGGGTATGTGTATGTGGGTATGTGGATGTGGGTATGTGTATGTGGGTGTGTGTATGTGTATGTGTGTGGGTATATGTATGTGTGTGGGTATATGTATGTGTGTATGTGTGGGTGTGTGTGTGTGGGTATGTGTGTGGGTATGTATGTGTGGGTATGTGTGTGTGGGTATGTGTGTGGGTATGTGTATGTGTGTGTATGTGGGTATGTGTATGTGGGTGTGGGTATGTGTGGGTATGTGTGGGTATGTGTATGTGTGTGTATGTGGGTATGTGTGGGTATGTGTATGTGGGTATGTGTATGTGGGTATGTGTGTGTGGGTATGTATGTGTGTGTATGTGGGTATGTGTATGTGTGTGTATGTGGGTATGTGTGTGTGTATGTGGGTATGTGTATGTGTGTGTGGGTATGTGTATGTGTGTGTATGTGGGTATGTGTGTGTGGGTATGTGTGTGTGTGGGTATGTGTATGTGTGTGGGTATGTGTATGTGTGTGGGTATGTATGTGTGTGTATGTGTGTGTATGTGTTGTATGTGGGTATGTATGTGTGTTGTGTGTGTGTATGTGGGTATGTATGTGTGTGTATGTGGGTATGTGTATGTGTGTGTATGTGGGTATGTGTATGTGGGTATGTGTGTGTGTGGGTATGTGGGTATGTGTATGTGTGTGTGGGTATGTATGTGTGTGTATGTGGGTATGTATGTGTGTGTATGTGGGTATGTGTGTGTATGTGGGTATGTGTATGTGGGTATGTGTGTGTGTGTGTATGTGTGTATGTGTGTGTGTGCGCTCCCGCATTGCCAACTGCACACACCGGTGTCATCTCGCAAACGCTCTCACACACACACACACACACATACACACATGTGCTTTTGGCTGAAGAGAAAGCCGCACCGGGAGGACCCCCCCCGGAGCCGTACGGGGGTTGAGACCCGGAGCGCCCCGTGTGAGCTCGGGAGGGGTGGGGTGGGGGGGGGTGGGGGTACACAGCAGGAGACGTACAGTCAGAGTACTGCATCAAAAACGCCTTGACCTTGGGACTGAGCCTCGCCCCCCCCCTCCCCCCCCCCCCTCCCCCCCAGCACATGGCGGGGCCGTGCAATGCAGAGGCATCGGGATCAGGAAGTTAGAACACATTTGCAGTTGAAGAAAAACCACACACACAACACACACACAACTCACCCTTTTTTTTTGCCTCCCAGTTGTCTGTGGTGCAACCAACTAATTCCAGTTATCAGGAACGCCTGTGAGATAAATCAAGGGCAATGTTGGTGTTTGATAGAATCGTAGAAATTTCAGCGCAAGTCCAGGAAGATGTAGAAGCTGAAGTCATTCTTCCCACAATTGGCAAACGTTCCATGGTCTGAATGAGCTGCCAGAGAGAAAGCAAGAGTGGAGTCCAGTAGGTTACTGGAGATGTTCAGCAAAAGTGTATGCATCATCTCCCTTTCAATGTATGTTAGTCAAAAACTCCAAAAATCAAATATGTTTCAAATTCTCCAAAGGTCTGGCCTGGGAGTGGAAGGAAAGTTTGCACTATTGTATTGTATTGATAAATTGCTTTCAGTGGTAGGTTGTGCTGACATGATAAGTGATTGGGTGTGAGCCTGCTGACTGGACATGATAAAACTGCCCTCTTCAGTGGGTGCAGATCTTTCAGAGCCCACACCACCTTTTACAACGAACAAGTAGGCAGAGGGCAGCTTGTGTTTCCAGATAACAGGCACTTAGTCATTGTGGTCAGGTAACTGTTATTGATAAGCAACTTGTGTCAAATCCTTATCGAATACCTATCTTGCAGAGGAGCAGAGCAGATTCTGCACCCAGCAATGGAGTAGCCTTGGTGAAAATGCAGATTAATACCTTTAACCTCCCTGAGAACTTCCACTGCGAAGCCCTCTCAAAGCGAGTCCATGTAGTTCTGACCAGTACTCCAGTCTGGTGCTAAGAAGGTTCACTAAAGTACCCTGAGTATGCTTGTGCTGTGGATTTGCCCTATCTGAGCTGTGGCCAGAAGACACAACAGTGGCAGGCAACATGTAAAGAATAGCATCTATACAGTTGTTCCAAAGTCACAAATTGTGACTTTATGTTTTGTCCACATAAATGACTATGTGAAAAAAGATTTGTACAGCCCAGCAGTTTGCTGGCATGGATAGGGTGTTTACAAAGTTTTGTTACCCCCATGTTTTTTTTTGTTGCAATGAATTTTTATTTTCTGTTGCAGCAGAGTCGATACCAGTAACTTCCTCGTCAACCCAAGATGTTATTATTGTTAAGTCACACCGAACATGGCGACATATCATTATATCCCATGAAATCCCAATCCACACTGAGCCTCTGGACATCTAAATACAGTTAAACACTTGTACTGAATACAGTTAAGTACTTCTAAATACAATTATTATCATTCTTCCACATGTTTCAGTTGTGTGTCGGTGCACTATAGAAATAAACATGGAGGGGTAACGGGACTTTGTAAACAGTCTGTACAGCCAACTAGAAAGGTCACC